TTTCCACTGAAAATGTTACAAAAACTAGTGGAAGAACTGTGCAAAACTTTGGTAACGGAGTTACAGTAAAAATCTCTCCTTAGGTTTTTATGCGACCACGTTTTCCAAAAGCTAGCTCTGTTAAATATCTGCTCCGAATTAAGATTCAAAGATGTCTTGCGGAAAGAATGGGGTGTCAGCTATGACATGGCACCTTGAGTAAACATTTTTTATTGGTTAATGAACTACAATAAATTAAGTGGATTTACACCTGGTAACATAATTATGGTAATGATATTACATGATCTGTACTACACAGAAACGCATAATTATGGATATGAATGTCATTCTCCTCTTGTTTCACAAGTTTGGACGTCACAGCACAGCAGAGCACAGTAGAGTACAGTGCAGCACAATACAGCACAGCAGGGCAGGGCGGAGTAGAGTAGGGTAGAGTAGCGTAGGGTAGAGTAGGGTAGAGTTCAGTACAGTACAGTAGAGTTCAGTACATTATAGTAGAGAATAGTTCAGTACAGTAAAAAAAAAAATACTGTACTGTACTATACTTTTCTTTACTGTACTATACTGTACGGTGCTACTGTATTGTAATGAACTGTACTCTACTGTGCTCAACTAACTGTACTGTACTGTACTGTACACTGCCATCCAAACATACGTCTATTATATGTTCAGATTTGGTCCAGATCGGTCTGTCTGTGGACGTTAACATCAAGGCCAGCATGGACTGACCAAATTTCAACTACTTTTCAATGTCTGTGGACGTCCGGTGTCGGTCGGTGCTTAGTGGGTGAGGATGCTGGTTACAGTAAACAGAAAGAGAGGTGGCTTATGGATGTCAGTAGGAGCTGGGAGAGGTAACATTAACTGGAGAGTGAGAGAGAGGCTGAGAGAGAGGGAGAGAAAGAGAGAGGGAGTGGTTGTCCAGACTCAGAGTGTAACACTCTTGGTTTGACCACCAGACAACAGGAAGACAAAGAAAACAGTTATCAGCTGAACATAACAGTGTGCCAGTGGAAGGGAGGACAGTAGCAGATCACCCAACTGTGGTTTGTGACTACTATGATTTCCCATTGCAGCCAATTCAGTTGCAGTAATTCCGTTACAGATTTTTTTGTAATTCTGTTACCAATTTGGTAACGGAATTAAGATTTTTAATCACCTAATAATTCATAAACCAAAATGATATCAGTAAAATAACTATAACTAATTGGTAGGTCTACCTTTACTTGTTACTTCTGTGAACTTTCATTATCCTCCCTACTCATGAGGGAGATAAATTAGAAAATATCATAAAGATATGTGTGTTTTTGGTAACGGAATTACAAGGCACAGGGCAATATTGCGTAAACGTACAGAAGGTAAACAGTTTATCCAAAAACTAAATATGAGTGTTGATACTAGTTGGCAGGGGTCTTTACGTCAACATTATTGTGTTTTAATGTATTTTTGATACCTTTTAAGACTTTTTCTGGTAGATGTTTTCTAAGACCCCTTTTCCACCGGTTTATCCAGAAACCAAAGCCTTTACTTATGCCTACATTTTAAGATGGAAAATGGTAGAAAAATGTATCTATGCCTTAATTTCCCCAAACTATAGAATCTTAGCTTTTATTTGACACCCAATTGGATTTGGTCCAACATGGGTCCTTTTCGATGGAAATGCCCTTATGTAATTTGCTTAAGGCTTGTTTTAGCTGTTTGTCTTCTGTGTCAAGGGTGATTTAGTAAAGTTTAGTCTCTTTTAGTTTTTTTGTGATTACTAATATCTGTTCTTTATGAGGCTCAATGCTCTGCCAGTAAAATCATTCTGTCTTAGACTTCACTTTGATCAAATCAAATCAAAGTTTATTGGGTGCGAACACAGATTTGTAGATGTTATCGCAGGTGCAGCGAAATTCTTATGTTTCTAGCTCCAACAATGCACTAATATCTAGCAATACAATAACAATACACACATAATCCAAAAAGTTAAAAAAAATTAATAACAAGAAATTAAAAAATATCAGATCGAGCAATGTCAGAGTACGTAATACACTGAATGTACTAAACATTAGGAACACCTGATCTTTCCATGACATAGACTGACCAGGTGAAAGCTATGATTCCTTATGTATGTCACCTTTTAAATCCACTTCAATCAGTGTAGATGAAGAGGAGGAGACAAGTTAAAGAAGCATTGTTAAGCCTTGAGACAATTGAGACAATTGTGCCATTCAGAGGGTGAATGGGCAAGTCAAAATATTGAAGTGCCTTTGAACGGGGTATGGTAGTAGGTGCCAGGCGCACCGGTTTGAGTGTGTCTAGAAATGCAACGCTGCCGTGTATCAAGAATGGTCCACCACCCAAAGGACATCCAGCCAACTTGATACAACTGTGGGAAGCATTGGAGTCAACATGGGCCAGCATCCCTGTGGAACGCTTTCGACACCTTGTAGTGTCCATGCCCTGACGAATTGAGGCTGTTCTGAGGGCAAAAGGGGGTGCAACTCATTATTAGGAAGGTGTTCCTAATGTTTTATACACTCAGTATATATAAATGGTGTGTATAGACAGTATGGACAGGATATGAATAGAAAAGTTGTGTACAGCAGTAGTTATATAGGATAAGCCATGACTAGAATACAGTATATACATACAGTATAAAGTGAGTAAAAACAGTATGTAAACATTATTAAAGTGACTCTATGTACATTAGGAACCATCTCTTAAGGTGCAGGGTAGAGTACTTTGATGCACCTGTACTGTCTCACTTATTTAACAGTGAGTGTTAAGCATTTAGGTTGTGGCTGGCATTCAGACATTGAATCGTTCAGTAATTCTCAATGAAGCATATTGTGTTCAGCACCTTTGGGAACAGCACCACTAGCGCTTAGTTTTTTGGGGAGGATGTGGAATAGAGGTGAAACCAAAGTGTTCAACCGGTTTTAACTTTAAGCAGCTTAGATTATAACATGTGGACCATTGAAATCTTACGTCTGAGATATTCTCTCTCTCTGATACAATACAATGGGCTTCTCTCATAGGCAGTGTCATGCTCCCACAAATGTAGACACGGCGTTCACAATACATATTGCATTCATGCCTGACTTGCTGTTGACATATTGCTCAATCCATATGATGTCCATGTACAGCAGATTAGAACGACTTTGTGGTAACTTACATAGGCACAGTTAAACTGACATGTAGTGCTATACTCTCCCCATGTAAAGCAACACCATTTACTCACTGTGATGGCAGTGTGTGTGTGTGTGTGTATGTGTGTATGTGCGCATGTGTGTGTGCGCACGCGTGTGTGTTTTGATAGCCCCTCATTTCCCACCTTCATCCTCTTATGATTATGATCAATTATCCACTTATAACGATAGTCAGTCACTCAGCCTGGTGAGCTATGAGCTGTGGATGATGTAATAACCTGTAATCATGCTGTCAATCATCCTTCCTCATAACTCCCAACTCAGTACTCTCCCTTTCTATATATGTATTATTCCTTCTCTTCTGGTATCTTCTCAAATAGAAATTAATCTGAATACAGTAAGGGGCTTTTCGAGGTAAAAAATTCACATTAGTTGGCGCCTTTGCCCTTTGTTGGTATGTGTCCTGCACTTCAATTGGGCTTTTGTTGAGCCCACATTCAGAATTGTGGAACTTGCAACAGTGAGATTGAGACATGAGATAGTGTAAAGCAACTCATAAATTCTCTCTCTCTCTCTCTCTCTCTCTCCTCTCTCTCTCTCCTCTCTCTCTCTCTCTCTCTCTCTCTCTCTCTCTCTCCTCTCTCTCTCTCTCTCTCTCTCTCTCTCTCTCCCTCCCTCCCCCCCTCCCTCCCTCTCTCTCTCTCTCCCTCCCCCCCTCCCTCCCTCTCTCTCTTTACTCTGGAAGAATAAAAAGAGCCACTTCCTGTTGTGTGCTTAAGATCCCTGCCATGTGATAGTGTCAGTTGAAGCGGGTGTGGGGAATATGGTGGCTAGGCTCAGGCTGCTGGTGCTGATCTTGCTGATGTGAATGAACGTTGCTCTCCGGTGCGATTGTTTGCAAAGTGTCGACTCAGCCGGAGTGGTGTCAGTGGCAGCGCCATGCACAGCTCATACACAATCATACAAAGTGGCTCTCTCTGTCTAACATTTCAATATACTTTGATATGATATCACCCCATATACACACTGAGGTGCTTACTTACATAGAAATGTACACACGCTGCATGCTCTGACACATACCTGGAGATATGAATATGCAAATGTATAACGGATCACTGTAGGTGAAGTGGCATGCTTTGGCTATGCTAACGCTGTCTCTTTGTTCTGTCTCTGTCTCTCTCTCTATTTCTGTATTGCCAAATAACCATGTTGAACAATTCAATAAGACATAAAAGACATTTAGAAACAGTCATCAGAATTAGTGAGTACTAGATTTTATTTGATCTCTCTCTCTTCTCTCTCTCCCTCTCTCTCAGGGTGAGGACCTGCACAGGCTGTGCAGAGAGCTCACAGAGAGTGATGCAACCTGGAAGCTGCTGAAATATAAAGCCAAAGAAAAGCCTGCCAGTGAACTGAACAGGAGAGGAGACGCGGAGTAACAGTGTCTGACTATACACAGCCACAGATAGGTTGTTCATGTGTTGTCATATACCATGACTGATTCTGTCTGACACAGTGTAAGGTACCCAGAGATGTACGATTCCAGATAGTGCTGTGTAAGCTGTTTTACAAAGGGCCATATAGCAGGTACAGAGACATCGACAGTGTTGGTTTCACTGACTGTCAGTGCATGGATGAAGACAGATAGATGGCATTGGATTCACTAAGAAAAGAGTGTTAGATGAACACGGCGTAAATAGCACTGGATGCAACCTTACAGTTGGCAGTGGATGCGCACAGACAGATAGCATTGGGATTGGCCGATACAGACGGAGAACGCTAGAGCTAGATGAGCTACTGCAGATAGAGCCACTGTTAGCGAGCTAGCGCAGGCAGGCAGGGAGTGGGAGTGGGAGGCGTAGCACCATGAACCCCAGAGAGAGCGGAGGAGGAGGAGTGGAGGCCATGGAGACCCAGGCGGGAGGGCTGGAGTTGGGGGAGGAGGGAGGCAAGGCCAGCCATGGAGGAGATGGAGAAGAAGGGGAAGAGGACAAGGCCTCGGCCTACGACTGCAACGTTTGTGGCCGCAGCTTCCCCTTCCAGAGCTCTCTGTCGCAACACATGCGGCGCCACACAGGTGCACGCCCCTACAAGTGCCCCTACTGCGACCACCGCGCCTCCCAGAAGGGCAACCTCAAGGTCCACATCCGCAGCCACAAGCTGCGCACGCTCACTAGCCACCACCCCGAGGAGGAGGAGGGGCCAGAGGAGGAAGAGGAGGGGTCAGGTGAAGTGGGTGTGTCCGAGGGCCTGGATGGTGGAACCAGTCCGACGAAGAGCAGCTCGGCCTGTAACAGGGTTGTCAACGGAGACGCTAACACAGAAGAGGGTATAGGGAAGACGGCGGTGAGGAGCGTCAAAAGGGAGAAGTCGAGCTCTGAGCAGCGGCCATATTGCTGCCGTCTGTGCGGGTACCAGACCCAGCGCGAGGACCAACTTCTCAGTCACATCGAGAAGGTCCACATCACAGCCGACATGGAGGACGAGACTACCCCAGTGAGTCAGGAGGCAGAGGCAATGGAGGGAGAAGCAGGGACTCAGGTCACTGATGGGGCCTTCCCCTGTGAGACATGTGGCCAGGTGTTCACACAGGCCTGGTTCCTTAAGTCCCACATGAAGAAACACGCAGGCCTCCTTGAGCACTGTTGTCGGGTGTGTGGCCGCCGCTTCAGGGAAGCCTGGTTCCTCAAGAGCCACATGAAGACCCACAATGGCTCCAAGGCCTCCGGCCGGGGAAAACCCAAGGCAGACTCCCAAGAGCCCGTGGCCACCATCAACGACGTGGCCCAAGACCCAGAGACCAATGTGACCTCCACAAGCCTTTACCAGGTTTGCTCCAAGTGTGGCAACCTGTTCCATGACCGAGAGAGCCTGAGGGCCCACGAGAAGGTCCACAGCCAGGTTAAGCAGCCGACACAGGGCCAGAGACGACCTAGCAATGACGGGGACTTTCCCGGTGCCAAGAGGCGCCTCCTGGACTACCTCAGCCTCCGGCCAGCTGCCGAAGAAAAGCCCCAGGAAGAGAAGAGTTACTTGGGCCAGAGAATCCCCGAGCTGGACCCAGTGTGTAGCTACCAGGCCTGGCAGCTGGCCACGCGGGGCAGGGTTCTGGAGCCTGTGGAGTCATACAGTATAAAGGCTACGGCAGCCGGAGAAGGGGATGAGGCACTGGCTGGAGGGACCGTGGTGTACGAGAAGGAGAGCAGCCGCTACATCCTGGAGGGCCAGGAGAGGGAGAGACGCTCAGGGAGACACAGCAGCGCCAGCGGGGGAGGGGGTAGTAACCAGCACACCTCCCCCGGAGAGCGCACCCCCGAGAGCCTGAGCGACTCAGAGTACCGTCCCACCTCCCGCCAGGGCAGACGTTCCTCCTCCTCCCAGCAGAGCCAGTCCAAGTCCACCGAGTGCTTCGAGTGCGGAAAGGTGTTCCGCAGCCACCACCAGATGATTGTGCACCAGCGGGTCCACCAGAGGCGAGACGGGGGCAGGGGTTCCGGGTCTGGAGGGGACAACAGGGCAGGGCAAGGAGGGGACCGCTGGGGATCCACCAGTGACCCCGAATCAGGCTCCCCCAGCAGGCCCAGCACCCCAGGCTACGGGAACTCACCACCAGCCTCCACCCTGGGAGAGGATGCCCCTGAGATGGGCACCGCCAACGCAGGCCCACTGGCAGGTTAGTGAATACACCTTGGCTGTTATTTAAGTAATTAAAAGGTTTCTGTCAAACAACAGCAAACTCAACAGTCAGACAATTATTGTGATTATGAATCTGGATTGATGATAACAATTACGAGTTGGGCTCGGAATTTAACTGACAAAGTGAACTGACCAGGGACTTCACCAAATTCCTTACCCTAATAAAAGCCCTCTCTCGTGTGAACTTAGTTGGACTAGTGAGGGGGGAATTGGGCAATATCTGAGAGGAAATGTAAACAAACCATTCTCTGACAACAGCAAGTTATTTAGCTCTGTCCTCAAAGGGCAGATTTTTGTATGCAGATTTAGAATGATAAAAGCCAAGAGATAAGCTTCAATGTAAAGACTATGTTAAGCATGCTGTAGGAGCTCATTCCTTTTCAAGCCCCCTGATCTTGATGGTCTCTCACTAGCAAACATCTGTTGGTGAGATCCCTATCATTGTGAATCCATCTCGTCAACTCAGCCCCATATGGATTGGGGACATGAGCCACCTTGTGGCGATAGTTGGAACTGCTCTGGATCTGTTTTTGAGTATGCTTTACATAAACAACAAGATATACTGTATCATGTCAGGTCATTATATTCTCATTTGGGTTCAAGCCACTGTTGAAAACAACAAGACTGGTGACAAAAGCAAACCAAGATTAAAAGTAAATGGGTGGTTTGATGAAAGCTTATGCTTTGAAAGTGGCATTACAATGGAGTTGGAATTTTTGGAATGCCTATAATTTCTTCACCCCTTTGAGCAATAAACACTGTAAAAAAATCTTGATTTATGATTCAAGATTGCTTGGTATGTATGTTTTGTTCTTCAGTAGGGTGCAGACAGGTATTTGAGTGGGTGTCAGTGTTAACACTAACTTGTTGAAAATATGTCTCTGTTTTTATCATGTTTTCATACACAGTTAAGAATCAGAGCTTACTCTTTCACTCTCTTCCCTGGCGGTTTAGAATGTCAGAAATAGAAGTAGCTTTTCTTCTGGCTCGAACAGTGTGCTATTTCAGCTTTTCCTGTCCCAGGAAACCCCCCCCCCTTTTATCTGTGTGAATATGTTTTTGCTCTCCTTTTTTTATTTCTTTACTGTGAAAAATCTGTCTTTTTTCTCCCGCTCAGCTTTCAACATGAGAGTGTTTGAAAATTGAGCAGAGAGAAATTGAGAAATAGCATTAGAACACACAACCATAGAGCTTCACTAGACTAAAGAAAGAAAAGAGCACTTGTTGCTTTTTTCGTCAACATAGTGTCACACACAAGAAAAAAAGAAAACCTTTTTCATGTCTGTTGTGAACTTCCTGTTTTGTCATACATGTGCTAAATCCTCAAACAGAAACATTTATTTATTCAGTTAGTATGCAGAGAATGGATCTTACTTATGATATCCCTTAGGATGTTATGTGCAGTAGCCTATGAATGAGAACATTAAGAATATTAACTTGTACAGTCAGAGCCATGAATGAGTAGCCTGGTTCCAGAACTGTTAGTGCAGTATAGACAACTCAACATGTTTGGCATCACAATGACCATAGAAGTTGGCAAGAGAGCACAAACAGATCTGGGACCAGGCTAATGAGAGAGTGAGGAGATTTTAAGATCACAGCAATGGATTCTGAGTGAAGAGTGAGCATTGTTATTTCCTCCCTCATGGCAGAACTCAGGGTCATGTTCATTAGGTCACACAATGAAAAACATTTTTAAACATTCTACAACCGGACAGGTAGTCCCTCCCTGTTTCAGTCAGTTTATTTTCCCATTTGATGCCTAATGAACAGGACGCAGGCCGTGGCAGTGACGGCCACATTTTTACATTTACATTTTAGTCATTTAGCAGACTCTCTTATCAAGAGTGACTTACAGTGAGTGCATTCATCTTAAAATAGCTAGGTGGGACAACCACATATCACAGGGGGGGTCGGAGGTGGTGCTGTGGGATTACTTAAGATACTCTTTGAAGAGGTAGGGTTTCAGATGTTTTCGGAAGATGGGCAGGGACTCTGCTGTCCTAGTGGGAGGGCCAAGAGACCAGAGGTTGCAGAACGGAGTGCTCGGATTGGGCTGTAGGGTTTGAGCATAGCCTGAAGGTAGGGAGGGGCAGTTCCTCTTGCTGCTCTGTAGGCAAGTACCATGGTCTTGTCGTGGATGCAAGCTTTGACTGGAAGCCAGTAGAGTGTGCAGAGGAGAGGAGTGACATGGGAGAACTTGGGAAGGTTGAACACCAGGCGGGTTGCAGCATTCTGGATAAGTTGCAGGGGTTTGATGGCACAAGCGGGGAGCCCAGCGAGTTGCAGTAGTCCAGATGGGAGAGGACAAGTGCCTGGATTAGGACCTGTGCCGCTTCCTGTGTGGGTTAGGGTCGTACTCTACGGATGTTGTAGCGCAGGACTGCCCAACCCTGTTCCTGGAGAGCTACCGTCCTGTAGGTTTTTGCTCCAACCTTAATCTAGCACACTTGATTCTAATAATTAGCAGGTTGATAAGATGAAACAGGTTAGTAACACCTGGGGTTGGAGCGAAAACCAACAGGTAGCTCTCCAGGAACATGGTTGGGCAACCCTGTTGTAGAGCATGAACCTGCAGGAGCGTGTCACTGCTTTGACGTTTGCAGAGAACGACAGGGTGTTGTGCAGGGTCTCGCCAAGGTTCTTTGCACACTCGGAGGGGGACACCGTGGAGAGGTCTTGGAGCAGCTCCGTCTTGTTGAGGTTGAGTTTGAGGTGGTGGGCCGACATCCAAGCTGAGATATCTGCCAGGCACGCAGAGATGCATTTCGCCACCTGGGTGTCAGAAGGGGAAAAGTAGTTGAGTGTCATCCGCATTGCAATGATAGGAAAAATAATGTGAGGAGATGACAGAGCCGAGTGACTTGGTGTATATAGAGAAGAGGAGACGGCCTAGAACCGAGCCCTGGGGGACACCAGTAGTGAGAGTACGTGATGCAGACACAGATCCTCTGCACGTCACCTGGTAGGATCGCCCTGCCAAATAAGATGCAATCCAAGAGTGTGCAGAGCCTGAGACGCCCTGCCCTGAGAGGTTGGAGAGGAGGATCTGATGGTTCACATGTCGAATGCAGCGGATAGACCTATGAGGATGAGAACAGAGGAGAGAGAGACAGCTTTGGCAATGCGGAGAGCCTCTGTGACCCAGAGAAGAGCGGTCTCGGTTGAATGACCCGTCGCGAAGCATGACTGGTGGTGTCAAAAAGATCGTTCTGAGATAGATAGTGAGAGAGTTGGTCAGAGACAGCATGCTCAAGTGTTTTGGAAAAGAGAGAAGGGATACTGGTCTGTAGTTTTTTACGTCAGAGGAGTTGAGTGTGGATTTCTTGAGGAGGGGAGCGACTCAGGCCATTTTGAAGTCAGAGGGGACGCAGCCAGGGGTCAGGGATGAGTTGATGAGGGAAGTGAGGGAGAAGGCCTCCAGAGATGGTCTAGAGATTGGAGGAGGGGATGGGGTGGAACGGGCAGGTTGTTGGGCAGCCAGACCTCACTAGTCGCAGGATTTCATCTGGAGAGAGAGGGGAGAAAGAGCTCAAGGCATAGGGTAGTTCTGTGGGACCAGTGGACTCAATAGGCTGAGTGAATGAGGAGCGGATGTTGTCAACCTTCTTTTCAAAGTGGTTGACAAAGTCGTCCGCAAAGAGGGAGGAGGGAGGGGGAGGGGGTGGAGGATTAAGGAGGGAGGAGAAGGTGGAAAGAGCCACCTCAGATACCCTATCAGACAGTCAAGTAACAGGGCCTGGTAGGGCGTCCTCTGCCCTACCTCTACCCTCTATGTTCCACTGGCTGGTTACCTAATCCCCGCTGACGCCATCCAGCCACCCTGATCCCACTCCTGCTCCCCACGTCTCAGGGATTTGTTATTTATAGAGACTCCTAATGGACACACATTCTCTTAGAGGACACACACACACCTAGCATTCACCACCCTGCATCCCACTGCTGGCTTGCCTCTGAAGCTAAGCAGGGTTGGTCCTGGGTGGGAGACCAGATGCTACTGGAAGTGGTGTTGGAGGGTCAGTAGGAGACACTCTTTCCTCTGGTCTAAAAAAAAGATCCCAATGCCTCAGGGTGCCGTCTTTCAGATGGGATGTTAAACGGGTGTCCTGACTCTCTATGGTCACTAAAGATTCCATGGCACTTATTGTAAGAGTAGGGGTGTTAACCCCGGTGTCCTGGCTAAATTCCCAATCTGTCCCTCATACCATCATGGCCACCTAATCTTCCCCAGCTTCCAATATTGGCTCATTCATCCCCTTCCTCCCCCCTGTAACTATTCCCCAGGTTGTTGCTGTAAATGAGAATGTGTTGTCAGTCAACATACCTGGTAAAATAAATGCACTTGCACACTCACAGTTATACACACAAACACACACACTCCCAGACTTCGCTCGAGCATGCTGACAGACAGGTGATCTGGTTGGGAGGTGAGCAGACTAAGGCCTAGTTTCAATCAGATGAAGCGTTAACCGGCAATAGCCGACACCCGCATAGCTGATGTTTTGGCGGTGTCGGAGGTGGAACTGCGTTGGAGCTGTCGAATGTGGTCATTGTCACGGATCCACACAAGTCTAGGCTATATAAAAATAACGATGTTCAAAATTAAAATCATTAAACAAAATAATAAGGATTTCTATCAGCCTAACCAGGGTGGAGATTACAGTTACATACATTCTCACATTCCAGTAAACAAGGCTGCATGGCTGCAAGAGTTCTCTTAATGCAACTCTGTGCAGCCAATGGCAATGTCCGCTTTAGGTATAACGTGAGCCTCTTGTGGATTTGACAGCTCTAATGCAGTTCCACCTCCGACACCGTCAAAACATCAGCTATGCGGATGTTGGTTAAAGCAGATCTGATTGAATCGGGCACTAAGTCATTCAAATCAGGGGTTCATTCAATATTTGCGGCGTTGACAATGTTGTTTATAGTTTGGAAATGTCAATGAACATGACTGGATGGCTGCAGGAGTGTGCTGCTCAGGTGGTATCTTATCAGGTGATCAGGTCCATGGAGGTGAGGTGATACACTGCTGAGGAGTTGGCAAGTTGCCACCCTGTCCATCACTCTAATCATCCCTAGACAGAGACAGTATCTAAAGGCCTTTTTTACCTATGTATTTACTATCTACAGTACATACTGTACAGGAGAACATTCTCATTTTCAGGCCATTACTTATGAAGTGTGGATAGGCTTTCTAAATGGCTGGGTTACTCTAGTCTCTAGTCCCACTCAATTGTTAGTCTCTCGTGACAGACTGGCGAGCACAAGCAAGATTTGGTTTGGAATGTAGTGGCTTCCTTACCAATTGACCATAGCCACTGCCCAAGCCTGAAGCGGGGTTGTTTCGGACGCATACAGTCCACATTCGAAGTTCCCAAACGGCAAAAACATTCAATAAGATCCAGCGATATGGTGCAACAAATTTTTTTATTCTTCTTATTTCTAACAAAAAATTATTCTCCAATCAACTTAAAACATAGATTACTTGACGTGAAAAATACATAATATGGCCTTTTTTAATGTATGTCTGTATGGTCAAAAGACTATACCGCTCCCGCATCTAAATTTAGCTAGGAACCCTCCCCCCGAATGCCCAACTTCCTGCCTCTATCCTATCACTAAAACACTTACCACATTACAATGAATGGGCAAGAGGGGGAGACAAAAATGAAGTTACACTAATAACAAAGGAATATATCTCAATCAGGTAAATATAAATCATAAAGGTACGTACCTAATATTTCATCATATACATTCATATTTCATATATTTACACACACGTACATGGAGCTCTGTATGTTCTGTCTTTTATACAAATATGTCTAAATCGGCTCTAACACTGGGTTTCAGTTTTTACCTGTATGTCTGCAATGCACGTGGAGGAGAGGAGTGTCGCTCCAGTGTCAGTCTTGATTGCCTTGACTCCCACAGAGTGCTGAGTGGGAGGGAGGGAGGGCGCCAAGGAGGGAGGGAGGGAGCGAGGGAGGTGTGCAGTTAATGGCGGACATCCCACCCAGTGTTTGTTTATGTCAGATGGATGTTATTTCCCCTCGTGGTTTCCCCTTGGCAGCAAGGCAGGTTATGGCACCGACAGCTCTATGGCAACCAGGGCTTTCCCCTCCTCAAACACACACATGCACGCACACACCACCTACTAGCACTGACTTTTCTGACAGCTACTTTATTGAGGAAAAATGCACTAACTATAAGTAGCTCTGGATAAGAGCATCTGCTAAATGACTAAAATGTCAAATGTAAAACACACACACACAGGGACTAGCCTCCAGTTCAACCCTGGCTGGGTGTTAGCCACTGCAGTGTGTGGACAGTAGGGGAGCCAAATGAAAAGCAGATGGCAGTGGCATGTTCTAATTGAGAAGTGGAAACACAGTGGTGTGTGTGTGTATTTGTGTGTGTGTATTTGTGTGTGTGTATGTCCATTTGTTTCAGTGGGCAAGGGAGGCCTTGTACATCACAAGGCATTGAGTGTGTGGACACATATCCTTCTTAAAGGGGCAATCTGGAGTTGCTACATCCATTTTTGTAATTATAAATTAATGAGCGGGCCTCCCGAGTGGCGCAGTGGTCTGTGCCACTAGAGATCCTGGTTCGAATCCCGGCTCTGTCGTAGCCGGCCACGACCGGGAGATCCATGGGGCGTCGCACAATTGGCCCAGGGTAGGGGAGGGAATAGCCGGCAGGGATGTAGCTCAGTTGGTAGAGCATGGCGTTTGCAACGCTAGGGTTGTGGGTTCGATTCCCACGGGGGGGGACAGTATGAAACAAATAAAAAAATAATGTATGCACTAAGTGCGTCTGCTAAATGACTAAAATGTAAATGATATGTACCCATTGATTCTTGAAAAATATAACTTATATATGCCTCATGAGCTTAGTTAAACTCCGGTACCCCAGCAGAACCCAACATATAAGCTTGTTCGACTCCAATGTTTGTAAACAAAGTACATACACACTATAGCCTCAAAACATGGTCAAAACTATAATTTTGACCATATCCTGGATGGTCAGTCCTTGCATCCATAGCTCAGTCTATGAATTTGAGAGTGGTTACATAGCTCCTGAGTGGCGCAGCGGTCTAAGGCACTGCATCTCAGTGCTTGAGATGTCACTACAGACCCCCTGGTTCGAAAATCACAACTGGCTGTGATTGGGAGTCCCATAGGGTGGCACACAATTGGCACAGTGTTGTCCGGATTTGGCCGGTGTAGGCTGTCACTGTAAATAAGAATTTGTTCTTAACTGACTTGCCTAGTTAAATAAAGGTACACAAATTAAAATCTCCAGGTAAGGGGAGTATGCTTTGTTATTGTTTCAACTGCGATTGCCGCTTTAAGGGACCACAGGAAGTGTTACTGAACATTTGTGTGTGTTTGTGTTTCTTCCTGTATGAGGGAGAGAGAGTGAGAGGTGGGTGACAATACTCTGTAGTAGTGTGGGGGTGTTTGTGTTTGATAGATTGTGAGGGGTTCTGTGTGTGTGTGTGTGTGTGGGGGGGGGTCTGTTTTCCCAAGGGTCTGTTTCTGTTCAACGGTTTCCTCTGTTCTGTGGATTCTTCTTCAGCCTCTTTCTTTTGGCCTTTTCTGTCACTCTCATAGAGGTACAGTATATATGCCACCATGTGGCGAACATTGACAACTGCACTCTATAAACCAGTTTACAGTCATCTCTAGCAAACAGTAGAAATATACACTGAACAAAAATATAAACGCAACATGCAACAATTTCAAAGATTTGACTGAGTTATAGTTCATATAAGGAAATCAGTCAATTTAAATAAATAAATTAGGCCCTAATCTATAGATTTCACATGACTGGGAATACAGATATACATCTGTTGGCCACAAATACTTAAAAAAAAGTAGGGGTGTGGATCAGAAAACCAGTCAGTATCTGGTGTGACCACCATTTGCCTCATGCAGCGCGACCTCGCCAGCGTGCCAGTGGCCATCCAAGGTGAGCGTTTGCCCACTGAAGTCGGTTATGACGCCGAACTGCAGTCAGGTCAAGACCCTGGTGAGAACGACGAGCACGCAGATGAGCTTCCCTGAGACGGTTTCTGGCAGTTTTTGCAGAAATCCTTTGGTTGTGCAAACCCACAGTTTCATCAGCTGTCCGGGTGGCTGGTCTAAGACGATCCCACAGGTGAAGAAGCCGGATGTGGAGGTCCTGGGCTGGTGTGGTTACACATGGTCTGCGCTTGTGAGGCCGGTTGGATCTACTGCCAAATTCTCTAAAATGACTGCCAACTGCTCTGGTGGACATTCATGCAGTCAACATGCCAATTGCACGCTCCCTCAAAACTTGAGACATCTGTGGCATTGTGTTGTGTGACAAAACTGCACAGACTTTTATTGTCTCCAGCACAAGGTGTACCAGTGTAATAATCATGCTGTTTAATCAGTTTCTTGGTATGCCACACCTGTCAGGCAGGTAGAATATTTTCACTTCAGTTATTCTTGTCGTGATATCAGAAACCATGATCATACTCATCATTAGGCCTACGAATACTTCTCACATCAGACTTAATTTTTACATCATGTTGTTAATTTCCTGATAAAAGACACTTGCTGTTTACACTCATATGTTGGAATAATCTAGAATGACACTCTTTTGTGACATGTACAGATGCACTGAATCAGATGCGAATCCCATACATTTTAGCCTATTGGATAATCTCAATTGCATTTCCTTGACTGTTGTCCTCTCTCCTCGCCTCCTTCTCAAAACCCATTGGATAAGAAAATCAGAGGTCCCGCCCCTCTGACCTTATCCTCCAATGGGTTTTGAGAAGGAGGTGAGGAGAGAGGATGTGAGGTATCAATTCAGATTCTCTTCATATATTGTTACGTTTGGTATAAGTTTAGTATTTAGGCCAACACTGCAACCAAGTGGTCATGAGGAAGCACAACACCCCCTTTTTCATGTAACATTTTCCAGCTGTGTTGACATGTAGAATGACTCAATTGAACTTGTCAGCTACTGAACAGTATTGATTTCAAGCATATCTCTAGGCAGATCAATGTGTTGTAGGATGTCATAGAAGTTATTAACACAGAATGTTCATATAATGTTTGTAGAATGCAGTGGTGTAAAGTAACTAAGTAAAAATACTTTGAAGTACCACTTAAGTTCAGAAAGGAAACACCAAGTAGAAATATGTTTAACCATTTATTAATGAATAATGCAAGTCTTGGCAATATAGGCTCTGCTCCTTCAGGGTAGCTCACTGCCCAAGCAAAGCGTCAACATATAAAATGACCTACAAGCAGTCAGCGCGGTGGGAGAAAAAGAAGCAAAATCATACTAGCAGTAGCAGCAAGTGGCAGCAGCATATGTGAGCAGAACCGGTCAGCTTAAATAGACCGCCAAATAAGGCAGGCGTGATTGTTACTAGCATCTAATTGGTGCAATCTCAGCTGATGCATCAGCTGAGGCAGGCACTCGGGTTCTGTTTCTGAACTGGCTTCGCTTTATTCGTTTTTTTGGGGTATCTGTACTTTACTTTACTACTTATTTTTTTGACTACTTTTACTTTTACTCCACTACATTCCTAAAGTAAATATGTACTTTCTCCATACCATACATTTTCCCTGACATCCAAAAGTGCTTGTTACATTTTGAATGCTCAGGCAGGAGAGCGATATGGTCCAATTCACGTACCTATCAATATAACGCATTGTCATCCCTACTGCCTCTGATCTGTCAGACTCACTAAACACAAATACTGCATTTGTATTTAGTATTTAGTATTTTATTAGGATCCCCATTAGCTGCTGCCAAGGTAGTCACTACTCTTCCTGGGGTCCAAACAGGAACAAAACAACAGATCACAACAAAACAATAGTCTACATCATACATAAAACAATACATCACACAAGACATTGTGCACTATACAACTGTACACTGCTCCACAATCACAAATTTACAATATAAAATGTGTGTGTCTCTTTGTGCCATGAGGTGTTGTTTGATCTGTTTTAAAAAATCAGATTTTACTGCTCGCTTGAGTTACCTGATGTGATAGAGAGTTCCATGTAGTCATGGCTCTATGAAGTACTGTTTGTAAATTATGTCTGAGGTGTTGAGTGTTGGCTTAAATAAGTAAATTTGAGGACAGAAATTATTTAATTTTAAGCATTAGACCATCACTAAAACTTCAGTATAAAAAAGTATACTTAAACCCGAATAGTTCTCAAGCAAATTAGAGATGGTCATCACCCAATGTTCAAGAAAGGCTTTTCCCTTATTCAGATACACAACTCATTTGCAGTTATTTGAAAAGGAAATAATCTCCCAAATATCACTATTTCTAAAACAAGCCATAGAAAGTTGGTTGCAATTTCAATTTAATCCTCCAGAAACAACAGAACAAATATTGTGGTTAAATTCAAATATACTAATTGAGAAAAAACAGAATGTTTAAAAAAGGTATAATCTTCGTAAATTATATCATCGGTAGGACTGGTGGAGTTATGTCGCACATGCAGCTAACAAAAACATATGGAAATGTCTGCTCTACCCAAAATTACAACCAAATAATTGCAGCCTTACCGCAAAAGTGGAAGAGGAAAGTGGAAGGGGGAGAAAGTAAGGAACTTGTCTGTCGGCCTTGCATTAAAGAACATAATTGGTTAAGGAAAACTATGATAAATAAAAAAGTATATCAGTTTCACTTAAGGACCGAAGGATTGACAGCCGTCCCATATAGATTGCAAAATAGTTGGGAAGAGATCTTTGACGTACCGATCCCATGGCATAGTGTTTATGAACTGACACGCAAAACGACACCGGATTCAAAAATTAGAATCTTTCAATTTAAATTATTATATAAAATTCTTGCTACCAATAGAATGTTATTTATATGGGGGATACAATCTTCCCAGCTCTGCAGATTTTGCTGTGAAGAGACAGAATCATTAGATCATTTGTTTTGGTTCTGTCCATTTGTAGCTTGTTTTTGGACACAGGTCCAGGAATGGCTAAAGGATTGCAATATTTACCTGGAGCTAACCTTGCAGATAGCATTACTGGGTGATCTGAAAAGTCATAGTCAATCAATCAATAATATAATAATACTTTTAGCAACATTTTTTATTTTTAATTCACAATCTGTAGAAGCAATGAGAATAGAAAGGTTCAGAACTTTTGTAAAACATCACAGTACGGTTGAAATATATATGCCAAATAGAAATCCTATATGGATGGTGTTAAGAGATAGATGGGAGGTATTGAATAGAGTTGAAGGATGGGACTAATAACAAATAACAACAAATAATAACAAAGATAGCTAATAATGTAAGCATACTGTGTCCATAATAAGTATATAGGTTGTATGTTGGGAGCTTTTGGGAAAGAGCACAGTTAGAAAGATATGGCATATAGAAGCAAACCGGATGGACATCATGAAAATGATCGGAGAGGTTGAGAGTAGAAGAAGTTCAGGAGCAAAAAAAAAAAAAAGTATATATATATAATATAATTATTGTAAAATTAACTCTGTCCATAAGGTGTAGATAGTAAGTATAGATCGGAAGTAGAGGCCTGGGCGTTGTTGTTCACTAATTAACTCCAAGTAGGGAAAGGATGGCGGGGTTGAAAAGTAATAAAGGGGAGTATATATATAAAAAACATGGGGGATTGGAAGTGATGCAGACAATTACATTGATAGAAGATACAATCTATCTGCAATATTAAGCTGATCCATCCGCCCAAAGAAAAAAAGAAAAGAAAAGAAAAATAATAATAATAATAATAATAATAATAATAATAATAAAAAATATATAATAAAAAAAACACAGAATGTTCATATAATGTTTGTAGAATGCAGTGGTGTAAAGTAACTAAGTAAAAATACTTTGAAGTACCACTTAAGTTCAGAACGGAAACACCAAGTAGAAATATGTTTAACCATTTATTAAAGAATGAATAATGCAAGTCTTGGCGATATAGGCTCTGCTCCTTCAGGGTAGCTCACTGCCCAAGCAAAGCGTCAACATATAAAATGACCTACAAGCAGTCAGCGCGGTGGGAGAAAAATAAGCAAAATCATATTAGCAGTAGCAGCAAGTGGCAGCAGCATATATGAGCAGAACCGGTCAGCTTAAATAGACCGCCAAATAAGGCAGGCGTGATTGTTACTAGCATCTAATTGGTGCAATCTCAGCTGATGCATCAGCTGAGGCAGGCACTCGGGTTCTGTTTTCTGAACTGGCTCGCTTTATTCGTTTTTTTGGGGTATCTGTACTTTACTTTTACTACTTTTTTGACTACTTTACTTTACTCCACTACATTCCTAAAGTAAATATGTACTTTCTCCATACCATACATTTTCCCTGACATCCAAAAGTGCTTGTTACATTTTGAATGCTCAGGCAGGAGAGCGATATGGTCCAATTCACGTACCTATCAATATAACGCATTGTCATCCCTACTGCCTCTGATCTGTCAGACTCACTAAACACAAATACTGCATTTGTATTTAGTATTTAGTATTTTATTAGGATCCCCATTAGCTGCTGCCAAGGTAGTCACTACTCTTCCTGGGGTCCAAACAGGAACAAAACAACAGATCACAACAAAACAATAGTCTACATCATACATAAAACAATACATCACACAAGACATTGTGCACTATACAACTGTACAATATAAAATGTGTGTGTCTCTTTGTGCCATGAGGTGTTGTTTGATCTGTTTTAAAAAATCAGATTTTACTGCTCGCTTGAGTTACCTGATGTGATAGAGAGTTCCATGTAGTCATGGCTCTATGTAGTACTGTTTGTAAATGATGTCTGAGTGTTGGAGTGTGCCCCTGGCTGTCCGTAAAAAAAAAAAACAAGAAAATTGTGCCATCTCGTTTGCTTAATATAATAGATAAAATTTGATGCATTTATTTTACTTTTACTCAAATATGACAATTGAGTACTTTATCCACCACTGTACTTTAGTTAATTTAAAACCAGATACTTTTAGACCTTTACTCAAGTAGTATTTTACTGGGTGACTTTCACTTTTACTTGAGTCATTTTCTATTAATAAGGTATCTTTACTTTTATTCAAGCATGACAATTGAGTACTTTTACCACCACTGGTAGAATGTTTCAGAGAAGTAACCAAACCATCTCTGTTCTGTTTTGTTTTCCACAGACGAGAAACCTTACGTCTGCAGCCTGTGTGACTTTGTCAGCACAGAGTCCTCTGCCTTCCTGTCCCATCTACGTCTCCAGCACACCAGTGACGGCCGACCCATTCCCAGCCCCAGCTCCAGCTCTGAGAGAGGCACCCCCAGTAGCTTCCCCAAGCTGAAGAGGGCCCTCCTCCACGGGCTTGCTCAATCCACTGCCCCCCACCCTTACCTCTCTGCCCGGCCGTCGAGAGACAAACGCCCCGCCGAGAGCATCTCACCCACCAACCCTCTCCATGTTGCTCCTCTGGACCTGTGTGTGAGAGCCGAGGGCCACAGGGGCCCAGCCTCCTCAGCCCTTCAGCAGAAGGGCCTGCTCAGCCACAAGTGCTCCTACTGCTCCCACTCAACCCACTACCTGGAGGTGCTGTGGATGCACCAGACCGTCGCCCATCGCATCAACAGTAGAGCCCTGGCCCCCAAATGGGCCCTCCTGAGGAATGGCTTCAAGGGCCCCCGAGAGGGCTCATCCTCCAGGAGACGCACGGGCCCTCCTCCCGCTCTGGACGGGAGTGAGTGTCCCCCGTTGCCCCCTGTGGTGCGCACACCCCGCACACGCCCCCCCTCGTTGAGCGGGGGCCAGAAGAAAGACAGCAGGGACAGGGCAGCCAGTCAACCCAGCACCTCTTCTTCCTCCTCTTCCACACGAGGGTCCTCCTCTTCTGCCTCAGGCTCCCAGAGTGTGCGGCCTCCCAGGGCAAGCAGCAGCAGACAGAGAGGAGAGGCTGTGCCGGATCAAGGTCAGCGCTCTCGCTCCAACTCCAGGCCCAGGGTGGAGATCTACCCACGGGGAGGCTCCTCGACCGGCTCCTTGGAGAAGAGCACTGCGGCCGGGGCTCCCCAGCGACCCTCAGGCCCTAGCCCCAGTGTTGGAGGAACCACCAGGCTGGTGGATAGGTACATGTTGCCTCAGGAAGGCCTGGGATTCATGCTGTCCAGCAAACATGGCCTGGCAGAGTACAGCAGAGCCAGGAGCTCGCCTCAGCCCCAGCCCAAGACCAGCAGCTCCCAGTCCCACACCCAGTCTCACCCCCAGCCCCAGGGCAGACCCAGGGCAGAGCGCCCAACCCACAACACCACCACGGCAGGCCAGGGCTATGGAGCCTCCCACTCCCAGACACATGGGAGCGCCGTCCAGGTATCCTCCAACTCCTCCTCTAACTCCTCCTCAGCCCAGCGTACAGAGGTGAAACAGGAGGAGGCACGGGGGGTGGAGACACCAGAGCTGCCCATGGACATCCTGAGCTTCCTGAAGAACTGCAACTCCAATGACCTGGCGACACTCTACCACCGCTGGGGCGCCGCCAACCCCATACTGGACCCCACAGGTAAGAGCCAGGGCAGAGCTATGAAACAACCTTAGGTCCTTAAATAGCTAGGAAAATGTGTTTATTGAACTTGGCACATGAGGTGGACACAAAATAATATCAATAAAACAGAGGGAATGTCCACTCACTGTTTGCCACTCTCACAATAGATCTTTAATGACTGTAAAGTCATCCTCTGGCTATTTTTGAACTTCAGGGATACACCGTCACTTCTTGTAAAGATCACAAAAAGTGAGAATATTTTTTTTTAACCTTTAGGCCTACTATAATACTCAGATCCTCAGAGGTGTTTTTCATCTGTGTTATGTGAGCAGCCTGTCAGTGATAAGAAGGGCAGACAGTGTGAAGGGCAGACAGTGAGAAGGGCAGCAGGGATGATGATGAACATGCCTTAGGATCATGTGTTTAGAGGAAAGGCCAGATGCCAGGAGATGTTGAGCAGACCTTTTTTGGCTCGCTGATTGACAGATCATATCACATGTGGTGGGGAGTTTCACTGGACTGGATCTACCAGCAGGACTGGCCCCTGAGGTGGTCAGCACACACACATAGGCTCAGTTGTACATACATACACACACACACCATCTGGCAGAAGATGATTGATAGACAGGCCGACTGGCCAGTCTGACAGGAGCATAAATAATGAAAGAGAGATGCATTAAAGTAGCTGTGTGTGTGCTCACCGTGTCAGAATACATGTGTGTGTAGGAGCACACAATTTACTGTATATTGTAAAAAGGCTGTATCTGGGGCAGTGTGTATTCTATATGTAGGGAGTGATGTTATAACAGTGAAAGATGTGGCTGAACCTTCGTGGGTCTCTGTTCTGCAAGGCATATCTCTCCACTCTCCCAGTGACCTGTCAGCAACTGTTTGGGTCAGGGCTCCGGCAGATGATACAGAGAGAGTGATGATACACAGAGAGAGAGGAGAGAGAGGAGAGAGAGAGAGAGAGAGAGAGAGAGAGAGAGAGAGAGAGAGAGAGAGAGAGAGAGAGAGAGAGAGAGAGAGAGAGAGAGAGAGAGAGACAGAGACAGAGACAGAGACAGAGAGAAAGTGAGGGAAACAGAGAGAAAGAGAGAGAGAGAGAGAGAGATAAAGAGAGCGACAGGTATATATAAAAACAGAGAGAGAGATAGAGAGAGAGAGAGAGAGAGAGAGAGGGGAACAGAGATAGAGAGAGAGAAAGGGGAGACAGAGAGACAGAGAGAAAGAGAGGGAGACAGAGAGAAAGAGAGAGACAGAGAGAAAGTGAGGGAGACAGAGAGAAAGAGAGAGAGAGATATAGAAAGAGAGAAAGATAGCGACAGATGTATATAAAAGGAGAGAGAGATATATAAAGAGAGAAAGAGAGCGACAGATATATATAAAAAGAGAGCGAGAGGGAGAAAGAAGGGCGGAGAGAGAGAAAGCGAAAGAGCGAGACAAAGATAGAAAGAGATAGAGGCACAGAGAGAGAGATGTAACATAACAATTAACCCAGCAGCAGCTGCTTTAGAAATGGTCATTACCAAAACATCCAGAATGTTCCACGTATTCTGCTGCTGCTTTCCTAAGGTCAAGTGGGCCTGCTTAAGACACCCAGCTGGCAGGCTTCTATTCCTCCCCATGTTCCGGAGAGAGAAAACAGCCTGGGAGGCAGACGTATGACATCGCTGTCACCTGTCCAGGCAGATACCGTCACGCTCCGCCTTAGCCCTTTGAGTCAGATGCTATACAGTGACCTTTTTTGAGAAAGCTAGGATGTGTGTGTGTGTGTTGTGTGTGTGTGTGGCGGGGGGAGGGGTGTGTGTATGTGTGCATTAGTGTGTTTAGTCCAGCTCACTTGTCTTTCATTAGTGCCTCAGAGAGAGAGAGGCTTGTGGGTCTGCCTGGATGTTTCCAGGGGACAGGCAGGGTTAGACCTGCCAGAGACACTCTCAGTCACCTCCCCTCCCCTGTCACCCATACCACCAGCGGGCACCACCAGCCCAGGTACATGCCAAGGCAGAGATGGGAACTCACCCCCTCACTCACTGCACACACCCCACAGGGCTTTTTGGCTGGCAGGGGAAGAGGTCATAGGAGGGGTTGGTAGTGGCGGTGGTGGGGAGGAAAGGGGGATATGTGACGATGGATGGACCAAGTTGGTCTCTCATCTTCCTGCTGTCTCCCTGCATCCTGCATCACCGGATGACACACTGATGCTCTTTTATATTCCCCTTCTGCACATGTACACACACATACAAATAAACAGAACACACATACTCTCTCGCTCTCTCTCTTTCTCTCTCTCTCTCGCTCTCTCTCTCTCTCAAACACACACACACACCTGACATGTGACACGCGGGCTGGGCGGCGGAGCGGGCACATCACAGCCGGGGCGTTTTAATTGGCTGTAATTTATGCGGCAGCCGTGTAGCTGTGTGTGTCTGCCTGTCAGAGCCTGAGATGATGCTGTGTGACAGCTGCAGTCCAACCCCTGGAGCTAGCCTCCCATAATGACACATTAGACATACTAATGATGCTTCCCTCTCTATACTCTACTCTTCTCTACTAGAGTTGAGGCTAGCTCTCTCCAGCCAGAGACTAGAACTAGTCTGTCGGTGTCTACTCCTTTATGGCCCTGTGTTCCATTCATAGACATCCAATCAATCAATCAATCAATCAAATGTATTTATAAAGTCCTTTTTACATCAGCAGATGTCACAAAGTGCTTATACAGAAACCCAGCCTAAAACCCCAAACAGCAAGCAATGCAGATGTAGAAGTACGGTGGCTAGGAAAAAGTCCTTAGAATGGCAGGAACCTAGGACGAAACCTAGAGAGGAACCAGGCTCTGAGGGGTGGCCAGTCCTCTTCTGGCTGTGACGGTGGAGATTATAAGAGTACATGGTTTACGTCATTTTATGTATCGTTCCTCGTATTAAATCCCTCCCAAATGAAATCGCTCAAGGGGAGAGTTCTGCCACTACCTGTCCTCTCTGGAAGGTCATGCCATCTCTGCCTGTGCCTGTGCCTGTGGAGATTATAATGGCCATTAAGGCGAGATTGCTCTTCAAGATGTTCAAACGTTCATAGATGACCAGTAGGGTCAAATAATAATCACAGTGGTTATAGAGGGTGCAACAGGTCAGCACCTCAGGAGTAAATGCCAGTTGGCTTTTCATAGCCGAGCATTCAGAGGTCGAGACAGCAGGTGCGGCCCGTGTGCCCTTCATCTAGTCCTTCCCGGCTATCTCTCCCTCTTTCTTTCCATCCTCCCATCCGTCTCTACATCTTCATTTTGGTCAGGTCTTTGGTGTGGATGTTAATTTTTTCCCCAATGCCCCTAACTCTTACTTTATCAGCCTTACCCTGTTACCTCTCTTTCTCTCTTCCCACATCCCTCTCTCTGTGTCGTCACAGGTGATGTGTGTTTTAAGGTGAGGGATGTTTTAACTCATGTTCCTCTCTCTCTGTGTTGTAGGGATGCTGAGGTCTCTGGTTCGACAAGGGGAATACGTCTGCCAAGAGTGCGGGAAGAGCTTCAGTCAGCCCAGTCACCTCCGCACACACATGAGATCCCACACAGGTAAATGGGGATTAACACACACACACACAGACACACAAGCACATACACACGCAGGTGCGTGAATACACATGCACCCATGCACACATATGCGTGCACAAACACGTATGCCCGTACACACGTACACACACACACATGCATATACAATGCATACAATCACATATCCAATACTGAACATCAGTAACATTCAACTACATTATTTGTTCATTTGCGCTCCTCAGCCTGTGGGTCCATTCTTTGCCCTTGACCAGGATAGCTGTCTGTAGGTTTTAAACTAATATGATTTTCTGACCTGTGACAAATAGTATACATTATTAATCACATGTCAGTTAGAGAGAAAGAATTGTGCATGCTAGTGAACCATAACATTTGTCCATCTTGCCAACATATGTCTCCATTATCACTACAACCACTGTGATTATTATTTGACCCTGCTGGTCATCTATGAACGTTTGAACATCTTGGAGAAAAATCTGGCCTTAATGGCCATGTACTGTTATAATCTCCACCCGGCACAGCCAGAAGGGGACTGGCCACCCCTCAGAGCCTGGTTCCTCTCTAGGTTTCTTCCTAGGTTTCTGCCTTTCTAGGGAGTTTTTCCTAGCCACCGTGCTTCTACATCTGCATTGCTTGCTGTTTGGGGTTTTAGGCTGGGTTTCTGTATAGCACTTTGTGACATCTGCTGATATAAAAAGGGCTTTATAAATAACATTTGATTGACTGATTGATTGATCCTTATTCAGCAGCCAAACCATTTATGGCCTCCTTTCTTATCCTCTTCCTCTCCTCTCCTCTCCTCCCTCTCCTCATCCTCCTCTCCTCTCCTCTCTCCTCTCCTCTCTCCTCTCCTCTCCTCTCCTCTCCTCTCCTCTCCTCTCCTCTCCTCTCCTCCTCTCCTCTCCTCTCCTCTCTTGTCATGTCCATCAGTGGGGGCCAGCTGTGATAGTGGTAGACAGTGAGATAAGTAACTTCTTTATGGAGAGTGTGAATGATATGTGGCACAGCCAGTGATGCTAAGTGACAGGAGCCAAGCGGTAAGTGATGCAGAGGGAGTCCTCTTCCCCCCCAGCATCCACTTTAAACACACACGAGCGTGTGCACGCATGCACACACACACACACAGACACACACACACTTTATCCCCCTACACACACACACACCGCATAAACAATGCACAAACACACACACACACACACACACAGAGTGAGCTGTAATTAATGTTGTCACCGATGCTTTTCTTCAGCATGGACGTCATCCTCATGCAAAAGGCCAGTCACCCCGAGGCCTCCCATTAGCATGTCTGTGTCATATTAAATCACTGGCTTCACTCCACTAGGTCTCATCATCATCATCATCATCTAGCTCCACTCTGCTCTGCTGTTGTGTTGTCGCTCTCTAACTAACTGGTTGTTGCTGTGGTGGATGGTGGCGTTTGCTGGTGGTGATGCTGGTGAATGGAGACTATGAGCTTTTTTTAACAAGTACAAAACCCCCCGCCCCTCACCCTCCTTCTTCCCCACAGTCGTGTTTGATTATAACGGACTCCGAGGTGCTGACGCTCAAACCAACTCCTCGGAAGCTCCCAAACAAGTATGTTGTTCCCATCGATTCACATTGGGTTGCTGCTTCCCATTGCTTATGCACGTTCGTTTTGTGTGCATGTTTTTGTCTGCGTATGTTTGCATGTTTGCTGGTGCTCATGTCCTTATTGTTTTATATTCATTCTGTCTTTTTCACTAAGAGTTAATTGTCCTTTTGGAATCATCCTTTTTCAGACTCCACATATTTCTTGTTGTCACTATGTCACCAAGTCACTAGAACCATAGACAGCAACAATACAGTCCTGGTAGTCTGTCCCTGTATGAAGGATTGGCCCTGAGAACACACACAATGTCTATTTTCTCTCTGCATCAGATGAAAGTTTTCTGAGAGAGGGAGAGAGAGAGAGGAGAGAGAGAGAGAGAGAGAGAGAGAGAGAGAGAGAGCGAGAGAGAGGGTTGGGTGAGGTAAATCTCCTCTGCTTTGACATTCGGAAAGAGCCAGGTCCGCAAGCCGCACCTCCATCTTAATGAATCACCCATCCGCAAATTTATCGCAACGCTATGAATGATGGGAGCAGAAACAGCGTCGGGGTCCAATTAGATGTAGTGTTGGCGGTGCATTACAGTGGCGATAACCTTTAGTGTAATTTAGTGCACCACTCCCATCCAGCCTCCCTCCCTGCCTCTCTTCCTCACAGGACGACGGTGTCCTAGAGGTGCTCGCTTTCCCCTCACGTCTCAACCTGCCCGCCTGATCGCCTGGCTCTGCTTTTAGATTCTGCGTGATTAATTGTGTATTTTTGTGTTTTTATTTCCCCCACCGCAATATAATGATGTATGATAACACACATATTTTTCTGTTTCTTCTTTAGGTAAGAGAGAGTGAAGAGAGGTTGAGGGCAGAGGGCGTCATTTGTTTTCCCCCGTTTGATATTCTTCCATTTATCATAATGATAATTAGGTGCAATTAAATGGCAATCTCATTTGTTTTGTTCAGGTGTGCTGTTGCTTATTTTATGTGAGAGCCGTCAGAGCCATTGTAGGTCAGTGTAATTAGCAAAGCGAGTGGGTGGGGCCAGCTGATTGAGAGAAAGAGAGAGAGAAATAAAGTAGGACTGCACTGGCATCAGGGTTGTGTGGCCCTTTTACACACGTCAGGCTTCTCTCACAGGAGAGGAGGGCAGGTTCATGTAGGTTAGAAAAGAGGAAAGTTAACTTGATGTCGTTTTTGGAATCAGGTGCATTATAGTCTCTCAGTCAGTCCCAGCATGGTTTACGTCATTTTATGTATTGTTCCTCGTACTAAATCCCTCCCAAATGAAATTGCCTCAAGGGGAGAGTTCTGCCATCACCTGTCCCTTTCTGGAAGGTCATGCCATGTCTGCCCTCTGTGTGACCTCTGACCTCTCTGTGTGTTGTTGTGTGTGTCCCACAGGGGAGAGACCATTCCGGTGCCGCCTCTGCCCGTACCGAGCCTCTCAGAAAGGGAACCTAAAGACCCACGTCCAGAGTGTCCACCATGTGCATTTCGACAACGCCCAGTACCCCGATTACAGACCACTGGGACTGGGCCATGAGCAGGAGGAGGAGCAGGGGGACTGGTTCTCACCCACCACCACCACAAACCCACCCCGACCTAATAACAGACCCACCAACGTGAGATCCCCAGGGCCTAAGATAGACATCGAGACCATCCATATTCCCAGCCCCTCCCCAAAGACAGCAGAGAGACCTGAAAGCTGTGTTAGAGACACCACCTGACAGAGTGACATCAGAGTGAACTCACCCCTATTGCCCTTGAATGACCTTTATTGTCCTCTAGGGCTTTTAGATTAAATATTACCAGGATTATTTTAAATGTGTTTAAAGAAAGAAAAGGATTTCTTGGAAAGAGAAGAAAAATCAGACTGCAACCAAATGCTGTTTTTTTTCCTCTGTGGACCCATGGGCAAGGATGGCATGGTGGCATAGCGACATCCCTATAGCTTTCCATTTTCCTATTTTTCCCCATTTTATTTAGATTGTGATTAAATGTTTTTGTGCATTCCTCAGGACACTGATCCCTTAATAACACACGGCAGGATGGAGCAGCCATGTTGGTGATGTTTACACTGACTGAGCTGAACTCACTTAGCTAACCCTCCGATTGCAGCAAACTTGACAAGCTTAAGACGGTTTGTGTGTGTGTGTGTGTGTGTGTGTTCTATCCTCTCCTGCACCACTATAATGAGTCCTGTGTGAGTGGCTGAAGTGAAGTGACCACTACACGGTCTGACTCCGAGGCTGTTTGGCCTGCCATTAAAGAGAGAGAACGAGAGAGAGAGATGGAGGGCTAATGACTGTGTGAGAGGAGGTGCCTACTTTACTGCTCATTAAAAAGAGTGTGCGCTTTTAATGGAGGATATAAACGAGCGTGCGGTTTTAACGGTCATTCAATTATTGGGAGGAGAAGAAGAGGAGGCCATTTTCTGATCCCTCTGATCCAAGCATAGTCCTCTTCCCACACCTCCAACCTCAAATTAGACCCACTTACTGAAACCTCTTAGCAGGAACAAAGTGGTCGGACTGTTTGGTTCAAGTTGCCCTTACTCTCCTTTCTACTTGCTAAATGACTCAAATGTAAATAAGAGTATAGTCCTTAAAGCTCGTCCTCACAACAGTGGCTTTTTGGGGGGGAAGGTTGAGAGGTCAGGTGTCAATAGCTTTCAGGGAGCATTGATGGAGACGTTGTTTTGTTTCTGATGGCTGTGGCGTCGTCGCTGGGTTGGTGTGTGTGTGCGGCTTGTGTGTGTTTGTTTTGCCCCTCCTTGATTACCTCTGCATATTAGACTCCCTTTAGATGCTTTGCATACTACCTCTTTTGCAATAAAAGCTTGTTTTGGTTTTTGGACGGCCAGGTATGAAGTGAGGACCAAAGCCATGCTTGGATACTGTATATACGATATAAGGAGAGGCTTCACTGTAACCATATGTGTGATGTTTTTCTCAAAGTTGGATTCACCCTCATAAAGCGCCTCCTGGATTCATAGCCATGCCTATGACCAATGGATTACATTGAAATGTAAGTACCTGGGTCCTGCTCGTTAGGGCACACAACAAAAACATTTTGCAACGGAAAACAAAAATGAGCATTTCTGATTGGACAAATCCAGATGGGCCCTCCCTGTTTCAGTCCACTTTCTTCCGTTTGGTGCCTAATGAACACAACCCAGGTGAGGTGAAGCTCTGTAATAAGTTAATCATTCTTGTTTTGGTGCATGGATGTCAACATGTTCATTCAGACAAGCAGACTGTTGGTCAGACAGTCTTTTTGAGCAAACCTTGTATACACGCAAGGCCACATGCACTGTACAAGACACTGCAAATGTCAAAGTGTGAGACAGATAGCCAGAGATAGAGAGGAAGAGAGTGAATAATAATCAACTGTTTAGAATAATATTTGGGGAGGGGGATTCAAAGATATGGAATTATTGGCATGGGATATAATACTGTCTATTTTGAGACCTCTGTAGTAGTTTTTACATGAACACAAGATGAAATGATTTCTGTATCAGTTACTTGGTATGGTTGGTTGAATATGCATACAACAGTGTGCTTGAATATACCTACACATACTGTATGTGGATATTAATGATGAGGATAGTCAAATACTTGAAACGGATAATATAGCCTATCAAGTAGTGTGTCCTTAATAATTAGTGCCCTTAATACTAATGATGTACAGAATTAACCTTTAAGATGAACTCCTAAAATACAAATTTGTACTCCTAAGTGTGACTTAGCAGATATGAACAGACCAAGCGGGAGTGAGAGAGTGAGTATTTGTGTGCGTGTGTGTATGTAAGTGTGTGTGTCTGTATTTTAATCTTACCAAACCCGTTACAGCGTTTAGATACCAAATGGCATTTCTGGTGCACTTAGACTAGGTTACTGCTTTAACACGTTTAACTGTCTTCATTTCATTCAGTCTTTGATTGGTAAAGGTGGTCCAGTTCAATGTCACCTCTGGTTTTTATTATTATAGTTCTATTAATATAGATATCCATGATTTTTAAATATGTGTTTTTTTAGGCGTTTGGTTTGTATTACACTGCTTAGTTCAGTTTTCTAATGGAAGGTTTAAAAAAATGATAGGTGCATACATATTTTTCATAAAGAGTGTGTTTTTAGTCTCTGTCTCTTTGCTAAAGATTAGGACTTGTTCAGTAGATAGCCAAGGGTACCCTCCCAAAGAACATGGTGGAAGTCATTCTTTATATTTGGTTGGGTTTTTAACAATGCCTCCAAGTTGTGTGTGTGCGTCTGTTGGCTTTTTATTTGTAATTGATTACGTTGTAATTTTTCCATAGATTACATTATTTGAAATGTATTTGGTTGATATCTGTATTTATTAGTTACAATGATCAGAGCAGAAGCAGACAGGAGTTGTTTTATTTTATTTTACAATTTTCAGACTTTGTTTTCACTGTCACCGATGTGAAAGCTCTACCTCATCTGAGGCCTTCTCAGTTCTGTTACAGTTTTGTACATCGTTGCAGAAAATGTAATGTCATCATGTCCACATTAAAGACACAAATATGGCACCATTCAACCGGTTTCATCAGTCTCCCTTTCTTGCATGTGATAGAATGAGCAGCATCCTGTTTGGATCTGCAGATAAAATACTGTAGCCTCCTGATGCAGTAGGGTAGAGTGGGGTAAGTTGTGCATTTTTTACATTCAGCATCACTCCGTCAAGGGAAATATAGTATTATTTCTAACAAAGATATCTACATATATTTCAGGATGTTGTGTATCCCTGGAAATAATCAGAATTCATGTAAACATTACAGTTTTTAAAACATAACTTGTCCAATAAAGTGGTCTCTTGGTACAACTTACCCCGAGTATGTGGTAAGTTGAGCCACGGGACAGGATAAGTTAAGACGCCTACACATTTTTGTACTGAATTAAATATTCCCACTACCTTTTTAAAACCATATCTTTATTCCCCAAACACAATTAATCACAATCACTTTTAAGCATATTGTAACACAGGCTTAACACCTAACAGACACTTTGCACTTTTTAAAAACACTTTTAACATAGGCTAGGCCCTGTTACATCATTCCAGCAATAATGCCTTGCAATACACCTGGAAAAAAACACTTCAATTTGCTCAACTTGCCATTGGCTCAACCATTGGTTCAACATAGCCCATGGCCATTGCTCAACTTACCCCAAGGTTAACATTTGGACTGTAAAAGGCCCACACAGCTACAAGGATGCACTTTCATGCTAGGTTTAGGACCTCATATTGAAGCTTATAGAGACCCCAACTGATGTATTAAACAATCTTAAAATTATCTACTTTGGTTTAGATACAAGCATCATGAAACCTCTAACACAATACATTCATTTGACTTGGTGAAAATCAGTTTTTTGGACCTAACTTGTTTACCACTTTTTCCATGTGGTTGCTTCCTTCACAAACTCCATGAAATGATGACCTCTTCCAAAATATTTGGTCAAATTATTCATTTTGTGTATGGTTTCTTAGAAACAAGGGTTGCTCAACTTACCCATTTTTGCTCAACTTATCCCACTCTCCCCTACAGGTCCAGAGAGGTACTGGGTCATGTTCATTAGGCACCAAATGGAAGAAAATAGGGAAGGACTACCTGAACTTGTCCAATAACAAACACTCGTTCGTGTTAACTGTTGCATAAGGTTCTAAAACGTTTTTGTATTGTTTCTTAATGCACACGACCCTGTTCTACACTATTCTACTATTCTTATAATACTGAGAACTGACTTTCGACTTGTAGTAACATCCCATTTCCATTAGGCATAAACCATATTTCAGAAGCAAGTATGGTAGACTAAGAAGAAACAAAAATAACCTTTTTAGGGGTTGACCATAATTTTTTATTAACCACATGTGACACTTGAAAGTAGATGCTTACTGACACCGATGATTAAAGGCCCAGTCCAGTCAAAATTAATTTCCCCTGTGTTTTGTATCAAACTAACACTGTAAAAGTGTGATAAATGTTGATCCGTGTTATTTCCTGATAGTTGCTGTTAGAAAATACAATCTACACAGGACCTTTCTAATCAGCAGGTTTGCATTGGCGGAAGTTTCGGCTTGCCTGGGGACATAACCAGGTGGTAAATTGGTGTTCCAAACCTCTCTGCCAATAACAGCTAGTTTTCCCCTCCCCACCCAGACACTCCTAGCAAAATTCTTGCCTGAGAAATATTTTTTTGCTAAAAAGCTATTTTTTTTCCATTTTATTGGAAAACGAACACAGTAGGTACTTAATATCCAGAAATGATTTAATAAAAAAAATGGCTGCATTGGGCCTTTAATGTGGAAAAATAGCTTGAGCTTGTTTCTATTTCTGATGTTCTGCCTAGTTATGCCCAATGTCCACTTGAGGCGATGTTCAAAAATGGACTCCCAGTCTCCCACCCACCTATTGCAGAGACACACTGACTGCCTGGGACTTGACAGTACTGCTGCTCACTTTACCAGTCCTTTTCATGTACTAGCCTGTGACTGTGTGCTTTGAGACCTGACTGACTGAAGGACTGACTGACTGAGTGGTGAGTGACAGGTTTTCCCGGAGAACATGGCACATGACGTTACTGCCAGCGAGGCCTGCAGGCTGGTGGAAAGACAGAGAGACAGCAGCTGCCTGTCACTTTCCCCCTCATCAGTCACTGAGAGCGACCGCCCAACATGACGGCCATGCAGGCAGCACTCACTGAGAAACCTG